CGATGGATCTGGAAAGTCTGGGTGGATGGCATTTACAACAGAGGGGTATTGGCATTTCAAAAAGCCGTGTTTATTCGTCAATAGCTCAACTCTCAGCAATTTGCGCCACTGGACTAGAAAGTTCACCAGTTCTGCCTCAGACATATCTCTACCAGCCTCCAAAAGGGTGTCACCCAAGGTAGTCTGTGCAAGTCCGTGTGCTACGACCTTTCCACAACCCAGTAGTCCAGCCTGCACAAGTATCAAGGTCAGAATAAGTCTATAGTATAGAACTGCACAGACAACTTACCTTGTCATAATCTCCACCACAAATAATAGCAATCAAGAGCAACCCACCCTGCGTTAAGTTGATGCCAGCTGTGCTCTTGATAGACTGAGCACTGTAGATGGTGACATTGTCCTTATCCTTCTTGATGTTCAGGCTGGAGCAAGGAGGTCAGAGCAGGTGGTTGATATAAAGAGAGATTGACTGACTTCCACATGACATGAACAGCACCAAAGATGAGGGCATCACTATCATCTGTCATTACAACATCAATGATGCCCATCCTATTCAGAAAAGCAAGCTCTGCCTCCGCTTCAGCAGGAGCCTGGTGTCTAGCGATAAGGCATTCTCACTCAGAGGATATACATTAGAACATATTGTGTGGTCACTGAACCCATGTGCCCTCACAAATTCTCGGAAACACTGGGTAAGCCAATGCTCTCGTGGGTGGATGTGTGTTCCTCACTTGGTTGCAGGCCGTTCATTACCATCGAAAACAACAACAACATCGAGGCATTGATCCAGGAGGCGGTTGAGCTTGTAGAAGAGAATTCGAAGCTTGGGGTTTTCGCCGGCTTGAGAGTGGCGGGCATGGTGGAAGACAGCTTGAGTCTGGTGCAACCAGATACTGTGAATGCAGGTGAGAGCTGCTCAAGCCATGGGGCAAGGGATGTACCTTGCATCGACACCAACCACGATGGTGTGGCGGCTGTTCCGATCTTCTTCAAATCCTTCACTCACAGTCAGCTGTGATAGCGACCGCACCTGACATGCAGGCTGCACAATCTGGAATGGAGTCAGAATTTTTTTCTTCTCATTTCACTTGAGCGTGACACACCTCCCAAAGATGAGTGGCACCCATGACTCTCACTTGTCTTGAGGATGTCGTAGTTCAGAAGAAAGATTTTCTGAAACACTTGTAGCAGTGGCGGTTGCCACAAAAGGAGAGCCCATGAAAGGGGCAATAGGTGTGGATACTGGAAAAGCGGTCCTAAGTGCTCGGAAATGGATAGTGCAGAGCAGCTCACCAAACATGTCTTGAGAGAACATACCCAGTAAAAGGGTGCAATGAAAGAGGTATGAAATATTTGGCGATTGTCAGCTGGATGCAACTGGTAGCCTCCCCCACAATACTGGGAATGTATACTGTGGGAGGTACACTGTCAGCCAGATAAGGGAGATGTGCAACACAAGGAGACAGCAGAGGGCCTGCTGGATTGATACCATAGTGCCATGTGTTGGTGCGTCAAAGTTGGCATGTTGAAGTCACGCGACATAGTACAAACCTAAATCATACTTTGCCCATAATAATACATTGTGGCCCACAACAATAACAAGGTAAAGTGGACACAATACTAACAAAAAATTACACTAAAAGACAGCTGCAGTAGAGGATAACGGGGATAGTCAAGATCACTGCCGATGTATGAGAAGGGAGCATGGAGTGGCTAGTGTTTAAAGGTTCAGTTCAGTCCGGTTTTTTGCCCCGAAAACGCGCAACCGTGGACCGCAACCGGTCCAGGACCGACCCAGATATTGAGGGAACCGAACCGAACCACCTAGGACCGGTCTTTTGCGGTCCATGATACCGGTTCAGACCGATCCAGACCGGTTTTTTTGTGTATAATTTATTATACCAATATAAACCATTTGTATCTCAACCATTATTACTCTGAAAAATAAACGGGTTATATAAAATAGTAAAGCATATAAATACCCGACATTCTACCAATTTTCCAGAGATTTAATGAAGATTTGACATAGCTATGACTGAAACCGAATTACATCTCCTAGAGACTCAGGTAAAATATGGATTTGGTTATATCTTTCTCAATTCTTAACCGTTTTTGATGAAACAAAAACCCAATAAAAGGCAATAAACGTGGTTACAAGGCTATGTAACGCACGTGACCGTTTAACCGGTTGCAACCGATTAAAACCGGTCTTTGAACGGTTTTAAAAGATTTTCGAAATGAGGCAACCGGCAACCGGACCAACCCCAAATTGGGGCAACTGCAACCGAAAAAAAGACTGGACCATGGTCCGGTTCAGTTCGGTCCACCGGCTTTTTGCGGTCCTATGGACTGAACCTTTAAACACTAGGAGTGGCTCCATTGAAAGCAGTTGGGAAGACATTGCGGACAGGAGGAGGTAGCCAAGAAGAGGGCGATGGGAGAATACTGGGGATAGTCAAGATCAAACAGGATGGCGGGAGAGGATACTGGAGATAGTTGAGATAACTGTTATGGTGTGGAGGAAAGCGAACTTCATTGATGAAAGCAGGGTGACGAATGATATCTGCCCACGGCATTGAACACTGCTGGGTCTTGGCTGTCAGCTTGAACGCGAGTGTCAAGCCAAGGCAGGATCAGCTTACAAAGTCAATGTCCAGCACTGAAGAGTTCTGACCGAGTTCAGGCGCTGCATGCAGACTAGTGTTTAAAAGTCTGGTCTGGTCCAGTTTTTTGATGCCTCTGGGCCTTAACCATAACCGTAACCGGTCCGCATTTTTGCCAAAAGTCAAAAAACCGAACCGGACCACAAAAAACTGCGGTCTGCGGTCTTTTTGCGGTCTATAGACCAGTCTTGGTCTTCTTCGGTTTTAACCGGTTTAAGACCGTTTTCTGGCCAATATTTTAAAATTATGAATCGGTAAATTTGTCGACGTGTTTCGTAGCTTTAAAAAGAGCCAAAGAACGTTAAATTCCGTTGAGAATTGGTGTTTCTATAAAAAAGGTCGTGTACATCTACTATTTTTAACGAAATTTTACATTGTTATTTATATCTTTGTCAATTCTGAACCAATTAATACGTGCTTGGGTGCGTTTTGAATGGTATTTAAGGGGCTACAAAAGACCGGTCCAAACCGGTTAAGACCGGTCCATTTAGACCGGTTTTTTTGCGGTCTTTAGTTCTCAAAAATAAAAGACCGTAACCACAGGTCCAGTTTTTTGCGGTCTTGGTCCGGTCTGGTTACAGTCTTTTTCCAGTCATGAGACCGGACTTCCAAACAGTAACACAGACCTCAATGAGTTCGGCAAGTAGAGAACAAGGTGTCGGAGCAGTCACAGACAATGATGGCGGGGAGTTGATCGGTAAGCTACAAGCTCTCAAACATCTCAATAAGTTTTGACGGATGTCATTTGTTGTGAACAGGGCATGGATTGCTCCATAGTCAGGCGACTGAAGTACCAGACAAGCTACTATGAAAAGTTTTTCAGTATGCATGTGGGATAAAACCAAACGAAAGAGACAAACATCAGGTTGAAAACCAGAACTACTGCATGGATGCCTCAAGCTTGATATCTGTGATATCCTCATAATTTTCAAGTGCCTGTATTCTTAGTGTTTAAAGGTTCAGTCCATAGGACCGCAAAAAACCGGTGGACCGAACTGAACCGGACCATGGTCCGGTCTTTTTTTCGGTTGCAGTTGCCCCAATTTGGGGTTGGTCCGGTTGCCGGTTGCCTCATTTCGAAAATATATTAAAACCGTTCAAAGACCGGTTTTGATCGGTTGCGACCGGTTAAACGGTCACGTGCGTTACATACCCTTGTAACCACGTTTATTACCTTTTATTGGGTTTTTGTTTCATCAAAAACGGTTAAGAATTGAGAAAGATATAACCAAATCCATATTTTACCCGAGTCTCTACGAGATGTAATTCGGTTTCAGTTATAGCTATGTCAAATCTTCATTAAATCTCTTCAAAATTGGTAGAATGACGGGTATTTACATGTTTTACTATTTCATATAACCCATTTATTTTTCAGAGTAATAATAGTCAAGATACAAATGGTTTATATTGGTATAATAAATTATATCCAAAAAAACCGGTCTGGATCGGTCTGAACCGGCTCCATAGACCGAAATAGACCGGTCCTAGGTGGTTCGGTTCGGTTCCCTCAATA